ACAAACTTAATTACTTAAACCTACATATTATATTTTTATAATGTACCCATAATTATGAAGTTTTATGCAGTATTACCAACACTAAAATTTTTATTGAAAAACAAAATAGACAGTATAAACTATAAAGGTTACTTCACTTCATTAAAAAACTAAAACTAAAAAACTCACTCTTCTGTATAGTTTCTTTAGAGTATAAAATTTTTGAATAATTTAATATTTAATTAATTTTTTATTAAATTATGACAAAATAACTAAATGCGGTATTTTTCGTTACAATATCTAGTTTTGTCAAACTTTTAAATTATAATGTCTATAAAAAAAACTATTGTTGTATAATTTTTAAATATTTGGTTACAGTATAAACTACTTATGAGAAACTTTGTTTTAAATTTTCAATCTTAGTTATACAAGTTGAATATATTTTATACATCTTTTAGTACAAAATAATTTGTAAATTTTCTTGATTCTGATAAATTTTGTAAAATTAATTGTGTCTATGTATCTTAAATAAATTTGAAACGCTATTATTAAAATTTATGAGGAATCATGTATTAAATTTTCAAGATTTTTGGCATAGCGATAATTTGGTTATCACTGTGTAGGAAAAAATGTATACGTAGGAAAAAACTAAAAAAGTTGAAAAATATTTTCAAATTGCATTAGCGACTGTAATTCATTAGGTAACTGTAAATATACCACAACATTTGGGGGAAACGAGTATCTATGGTTATTCGTTTTTGAGTTACCTACATAAAAAAAAACAAAATGTTTTTCACGATTATTTAAAAACTACCGAGAACTTATCTACTTGAGAAGTGACTTAATCTCTCAAAAGTACCAATTAAATCAAATTTTGTATCGGAAACCATTTTCAAAGTTCAAAATCGAAGCATTATTTTTACTACTTTTCTTGTATGTATTCACACACACACACACGCATCATCTTAAAATCAATACATTCGCTCCCCTCAGAATCTAAGACAAAATATATTTTTGAAAAACTACAGGCAAGTTGAGTAAATATTCACGTTTTCCACTATTATTTATTAGATTTTAACGATTTCTAAGAACTAGCTTGGTTGTTTCTTTTTTTATTTTACAACCCTTGATACATATCTTGAAGTTGATAATCGGAGCATTTTTTATAGCAGTAAAAATTCTTTGTAAAACCGATTCATTTGTCGCTCCACTCAGAGTCTTGCATTCCAGATTCCAGGTATACAATTAGTGCAACAAATTTACTGAAATAAGAAAAATAGGTTACCTACGTGCATACCCGTGATACGACAAAGACGATAAAAAAAAAAAAAACGTATTCGATGGAAATTTCTCTATATATTTTACTTGACACAAACAATTAATTGACTTTGAAATAACCCCCTTTTCCCCCGATCTCACCAGAATCTACACTACCATCTCCTGGATCGTTCAAGCTGATGAGGCGATCTCGTCCACTTTGTGAAATATCGATCATACAGCGAACATATTCTCGGCCGAAAAAAATGTCAATTTTGTCGGCGATTCGTGCCCGGTAATCGTTGCGGTAGTAGTCCGGCAATGATAGAAATAAGTCTTATAAAGAAATGGATTGCTAGCCACACAGTCTATACTACAATATTAATAAAGATGTGTGCGCTGGTAGCAGAAAGCTAGGAGCAGAATCCAACATTGTTAGAAGGATATAGAGAATATAAGGAGATATCATAGAAGAACAAATCATTAGATTTCCACTGATTGGAATGTACAAAATTGTTATTCCATAATATATTGTAGTTTTTTTCTCTCGTGATTTTTCTCAAACTATATTATACTCAATCTCTTTCATACACACGTGTTATTCACCCTGTTATACACGATCTCCTTCTATAAAAATCTATAGTATTTTTTGAAATAATTACTGGGTACAGGAGATTATCAGTCCATTTCTTTATAGGTCTATGAGAACGCGAGTCCAGCACATCGGCTTATTATACTACAAATGCTGTGCACATCGAATTAATGTTATCATCGTACTTGTTACAAAATTTCCGGTGTCGAATGAGCGTTTTTACGACACCCGCGGGGCCTGCCGAGTGACGACCGCACGATGCGCCGTACAGCGCAAAAGCACTAGCTGGCTATCGATTGCGGCCTATATACTTCAACGTACATGTTCGGACCATGTGTGATATATATATATGATTATTCTCATCCTCGGCAGCCAGTTAGCTGTCTGTGCTGTGTAAATACGTGGTAAATACACTGCGGTATACGATGCGGCGTACATATACACTTCAGGGTGATTATTTTTTAACAGCGAAACACTAGTCGGTTTCGAAAAAATATAAATATTTTTTTACACGACCGAAAGTGCGACGAAAACCACATATTTTGAAAAAAACATCTCATAATTTATGCCCCATGGTTCGCATCTTCAAAAGTGTTGTTCTCCGATGGTTTTAGATTATAATATTATGTAAAACAAACATTTAAGCTTTTCGAAATGACAATTGTTTTCAGTTGAAAAAAATTCCCATGTATCAAACAAAATAGTCATATACGCAGAATATTATGGATCGGGAGGTGCCTTTTAAATTTGTGATTGTGCTGAATTTGAGCCGTGGATCGAATCGCATTCGTTTTCTCGATACCATCGCGCGTGGTATTTATTGGTTAAATGATGCGGTGAATTTACTGTTGTGTGTAAGGAGGGAGCAACATTTTTTTTAAAATTAATTTTTCAATGCAAAAAAATATTTGTTCATAGATGATTACTTTCATAATGCAAAACGTGTCCATAATATTGATAGTGACATTATTTTTTCGACGAATGTCAATAATATAACAATAATAATCAATTTTGATTCTAAGAAAGTAAGAAAACAAACATAGAATATTCTAAATATATACACTATATTATTTCATATGCAATTAATAATAGGCACAATAAATATAACTCTTGTACATATAATAGCTTAACTATATCCGAATTGACTAATGTGTGCGTGCGATCACGCAAGGGAAATAATAGACTAAATAATAAAGTGCCATCGGAATATCAAAATTATGCCAGATGAAGTCATTGATGAGTTAAGTCTGAAAAATAGAAAGTTGGGTATTGCATGCCTTATATAATATGCGGTAAATGGTAATGACTATTATGCATGTGTAATATGTATGTATAAATAATAAAATAAAATAACAATGCTTTTAAATGTCACATATATTTGTCATGACTTGTGCGTAATATCATAGACTATAATGTTTTAACAAAAAATACTTAACCTAAGAGTTAACGAGGGTTACGCAATACATTTTGGTAATGTATTTTGTGATTATAACGCTATAAAGTTATCACAATCTTATGGAATCTTTGGCTGTGAGGGAAATGGAGACAAAACATAATTCTAAATATACACTACTGCACCCTACTCGTAAAGACGGAATTAGGTAGTAAATATTTATAATTTATACTCATAACGTAGCCTCGTAGGTATGTATTAAAAACTCTCAAGTATTATGAGCTTTTCGGTTTTAAAGGCCTCCGATGGACGCGTGAGTTGAATTTAAAAAACTCAAGGCTATTGATATAATAATGTATTAGAACGGATTGATTAATAAACTACGAGCTGATCATTAAAATGTATAGTTGATGGTGGGTAAGCTGTACTCATAGGTACATCATGAACTCGAGGGCGATGCGTGTTGTGTTCTTCAAAGAAAAAATATGTTTCTTACAAATAAAACCGTTTTTGTTGTTCTATTTTTCATATTACAAATCACAATGTGTGTTAAATATTTAGACAGCTATAGGTATTTTCAATATTGAAACGGTTTACTTATACACCACGGTATCTTTAAATATAAACACTGTTTTGACATATATTTTTCTAGGTCAGTTTACATTATGGTTATACTCAAAAACTATGTAAGTACAATTACGACTACATATCTTTTGTCAGCTATCTCGCATAATGTAGTGACATTTTTTTAAAATTTCTATTATATTATTAGCTTCATAACTCTGAATAACAATTATAAAACATATAAAACTAGTTAGTCGTTTGTAATGGTTGTTTTACTTGCTGCAAAACAACTAAATTAGTCTAATAAGAAAATGAAAATCACACACGTCCGCATGCGTGATGTCTAAATATTATATTATATTTAACGAACCATAATTCGTTATAATTTTATTTTAGCTCATTGATTTAGGTTTTGATAAACACCAACCTGCATGTTGTTTATTGAGTAAAGATATGAATGTAATTGTTATAGCTCTATAAAAAAAATCGCAAAACAACACGAAACGCGATAGCAATATCCGATATACCTTGTTACCGTGCACAATCTTCATTTTTGGATTTCATATGAAATCTGAATCAATAAAATAAATGTACACGCATAATACGTATATGGATTATATTAAGCTCATATATCTACCGAATTTCAAGAGAAAACATCAGCAAACTTCGGCACTGATTTTTTATACATCGTTCTAGTAAAATATGAAATATGCCTCCAAAAGAAAAAATATTAAATATTTTCCGAAAACAAAGAGATTTTTCAATCACAAATGTTATCGAATTTTGTCGTATATACATTGACGAAGGCTTATCTGGATAATGCAATAACTTTTTATTCCTTTCGCCTGCAATTCACCGCACGTGTATCCCTGCAATGGATCTTCTACATCGATCGCGAAAAAAACTAAATTATAAAACGGTTCGAAAATCAAAGACGATGTTGCTTGTTTCCGAGGGAAAGTCCCGCGTTTCAAGGAAACCATACAATCTAAGCAACGACGGATATTTCATTGGAAAACGTTGAGCACTATTTGTTTTGATATTGTGAGTGTTTTTAATATTAATGATAAGAAAGAGAAAAAGTTAATAATATTTGTGCGCGACGTAAAATAATGCGTTCACGACTATAGTAAAAGTAAACAAATGAACGTCCTGCTGCAGTTACGTCGAGTGTGGTCAACATATAACTGAATCTTTTATGTTAAATACTTACTTATATGCATATAATAATATTATCATAACAGAATCCGAATAAAATTGATTTTTATTTTGAAACCATCACTAGACGTAAAGTGAACTCGATCGTAATTGATTCTGTGGAGCAGTCGACTGCTGTTGTATACCCTATAATCGAAAAAAATGTCTATGCAATACAGAATATAATATTGAAACATGCGATTCATCATTAGAGTTATTATTAAGAGTGGGCATCTGTTAATTATTTGTATATCATACGCCAAGCAATCTTACCATTATTACACCAAGTTGGGTTGTCAAAACGTTTCAAATACATAATATTTATTGTATATATAATATGTATATAACTTGTATAAGCGTTTTCAGATTCGTTCTCGACATATATATAAGTACACGTTATATGTCACAGAGGTCGATTAAATTAGCAGTGGTGGGTAAGTAAATAATCCAAATGGTCAAACTTCAAAAAAGTATTAATCTCTTTGAAATTGTCTTTTTGGAAAAGATACGTATGTTGCCTTAACATTGATTTGTACTACCTACCTTATTTGTGTTTGTGTATGTCTACCAGTATCAGACAATAGTCGTTAAACATACACTAATACACTAAATTCACTTTAAGTTTTTAAATGGCAACATAACATTGTTAGGACAACATTGTTTTTTTTTCATTTATTTATAAGTGCCTATATGCACTATAACCCTCGGTATTTTCCTACTACATCTACTCATCTAAACTTTCAGTGCTGGTCAATGCATAAATTCTTATTAGCTTATTCTTCTTTAGATTATCAAAATATATAAATATAGGTTAATTCGATGTATTTCAAAATCGATACGCCGTGATTTTACAGACAAACTCAATAAGGTTGAAAAAACTAAATGAGCCACGAAAAATGATGGGATGGCGTGTGTCCCAAATTTTACAACTAAAAAACTTTGAAAAGATATAATGGCTAGGTTAAGTTAAGTATAAATAATGAGTGTTCAGCGTCGAAAGAAACGCCTCATGTATACCTAGTTGTTGACCTAAATTAAATTGAGTCGTTTTTATACAGTCTGTTGCAACGGCCAATATAAATTATATAATTTTACGCTGACGGACTACAATACTCTAAATGTGATAAACTTTTCTTGAAAATGTTACCAACCAAAAGAAAAATAAACCTCAATAACCGCCATTGACTATTACGACCATACCATATTAACTGCCATATTATGAGTAATTATTGCAGGAAATTTAAATTGTTTTCTTAAAAAATTGTCATTACGAGTACTTATTTAATTATTATGAAATACTTACAAGCTAGTAACTAGATGATCATTCCTAATGTTATATTTTAATAATGCGTTTATTCTAATTCTGATATTTAACATTTTTAAGAGTAATAACTTAAGAACCATATTATTTTCAAATGAGGACCGTTCTTTTTTGGTGTTAAATTATTTTTTATCAATATAGTAATGTATCTAAATCGAAATTCGAACGAAAAGTTGTTGAGTTATTTGACTGAATTTATAATGATTAATGATAATATAGGCGAACGATAATAAGGATGAAAGAAATGGAGATATAATGATTTGAAAATTATATTAATTGATTTTATTGATATCAACAGTCTTCACTCGTTAATGAGTAGGTCACTCGTTGCATACGAAATATACGATTCTGAGAGGAGGCTATCTGTCGCCTTTAGAAAAATGTCCTATTTATTTTATGTCTAGAAAATGTTCCTGCACATTTTTGGTAAGAAATATAAACGGTACTCTTAAACATTCCAGTTTTTCTCGATTAATTTTTATTCTTGGTTATTTTGAAAAGTACCTGGGTCTTTTTACTTGTAATCTTGAATGTACCAACTAGATCCAACATGTTACCAGAAGCCATCCTCCAAGTTGAAGGATGAAGGATTTTTTACTTCTAAATGTGACACACAAAAAAACACAAGCATCATTGTAATGCCGAAACATTCATCGCTCCGTTCATAATCTTAAAAGAAATGTGTACTGACACAGGACGCTCTCTTATTGGTGTAAAAAATCCAAGTAGTTGAAAATATGGCCTAATACTTAAGGGTTAAGTTAGGTTAAAAATTGGTTAATAATCTCTTTAGTTATTTCAGCGAATCACGCTGTATACCTACCGTATTCCGAACATCCCATCACGAGTTCCATATCAGCGCGTCTTAGTTTCCGATAGCTATGTATACATCATACAGCTGGAAGTATTGCACCTGTAATATAATATATTATATACTGTATACAAACGTGTGACCGCTTGTTTTGGTGACATGAATGACTCACACAGCAGCCAACGGGTTACGAAAACAAAGAGTGCAACGATATAAAAACACAGTTATTACATTTAAATCAATATTGTTATATTATTAAAGTATATAGTATATATGTGTTTGTTTTTATTTTTGTTTATTATATTCTGTTTACATTTCACAAAATGAATAATAATGAATAATAATTTTATAATATATGCTTAAAAATATTGAATTGTATGATATATTCGCTTTCAACTCAAATGACTTCAACTTCTCAGGACAAAATTTAAAAAAAATAAATAAATAATAAACAAAATCAAATTAAAACCTAATCAGACTTTCTATGGGGTAGAGGAATATTTTCTTACATCACTTTATGACAATCTAACATTAAGTTTTAAAGCTAAAATTAAACAATAAATAAAACACAAATGCGAAAATGAGTGAATAGGGGTTTTTGCACGTGTACTGCAGGAACAGCTCATTAATAATATCATATAGTATAGTTACTTATCAAATATCGGTTACTGTAACAATAATAGTAATAATAATAATATGACCACATTTTTTTCATTACAGACAGTTTTTGTTTTCATTATTATTTACGTTATTATAATATAATATATAGTACACATATATAAGCTTATTTATCATATTAAATTGTTATAATCATATTATAATACCACGTATAATCGACATTAATTAGTTATTACACACTGACATTTAATAATATTCCAGTATCATTATAAGCACAATATTTAACACATAGACACATAGTTGTACGTTTGTACATAGATATTGTATAATGTATTTTTTAAATTTTTTTCGTCTTATATAAATATCTTATAATTTAAGAGACTAGTATTCAAAATCAATATTGATTATAATATATAATAATATGCCATTAGACTGTAATAATATACAGCTTTTCCATAATATATGAAATTCCATTTTATATGGATCAATGCATAATAATTTACATAAAATAAAATATATTTCAAACAGGACATTCAACATTCAATCGATATAAATAAATATTTAAATCCAAAAATTCAATGGCTAAAATAATTGACGTAGAACGTGAACAAAAAACATAAAACAATAAAATTGTAATAAATTCAAGCATACCGAAGTACACAGAAAAATAACCAAGCAAAAGCTGATATGTAACACAAAAATAAACTAGAAACAAAGTAGGTTTTTTTTTAAAACAACAAATTTACAAAAAAAATTCAACTCACGTTACAAATACCACACACACACACACACACACACAGACGCAAACGGTCGTGAGGTTGTGTATGGTAAACGGTTTTTTCCGAATAAAAAACAAACAATCAAACGATAATAAATTAATACAAAGAACGACAATAAATCAATAAGAGAACGACAATAAATCAATAAAAGAACAGAAACTAACAGTACATTTTATGACAAAAACGTATTTTCATTCAGCACCACAAATATGACGTTACACAATGATAATATTATGTACATATATATATATATATTGTTTAAACAGACATTTTACAGTCACAGAAACTGCGACGACCAACAGCGGAAAGTCTACAGGAGGAAGCCGGTCCCCCAGCCTATCGGATATTATAGCGATCGTATACCCCGACGCAAAAGTAGTGCAAAGGTCGAGGTCAATCGATTCATATGGCGGCGGCCGTATCTCGCGGCCCGACACAGACCGCCACTTGACTATACAACTTTGCATACATCGAACATTCATAATATTATTATACTAAACTCTAAGGGAAATATTTTATGCGTAATAATATAATAATGTATAACATTTGATTAAACGTTAATTATATATTACAATACAATATACTATAATAATATAGTATACACTTGTCGGCATTAAATTTGACTAAAAAGAAAAAAAATGTTAAATCCAACATTTATAGGATGAGAAGGGGGGGGGGGGTAACATATGGGTATTCAAAATATTTGAGTCCTCTAAATGATGGGTATGCGAGGAAGGTCCTAAAACACGTAAAACGGTAATAATAATAATAAAAAAATAAAGAAATACTGTAGGTGCGCTTCTTATAAATAAACACATATATATATTACATTGTCGTCCACGTCGCTCCAGTCAGTGGTTTTGCCTGTTCAACGTTTGGTGTCGGCGGGCGTGTCGTCCGAAGAAGTCGACGCAGAAGTGGTGACTGGAGTTGTCCATTGCCACCGACAGCCGTACGGCTTTGCTTGGCTGAAACAACAAACAGCGAACTCAGTAAACGTTTGAAAGGGAGTTCAAAAAAAAAAATTTTAAATAACCACCTGAAAGATGACACGGTATAGATCGATATAAATTACATGATATATATTGCACCGTGTGACCGTTACGGGATGTTGGGAAAGGGAGGGAGGGGAAAGACGCCTAGGTACCTTGAACCTATATACTTATAATAAACTCATGATTTTTTTTTTTTAAATAACGGACTAGTCTTCACCGTAATTTTTAGTTATTTTGGTGGGGAGAAGTCATAAGGATATGAGTTTTCACTCGACAAAAATCAGATTTTTACACTGTTTTTTTTTTAAGGTGGCACATAAGCTATCTATGTTCTACATCATTTATTTTTTCATTGATGCATACGACGAATATTGACCAATCATTCCAAAACATAATTTTGAACGAGTGTAATGGATACAAAAATTTGATTAATTTTCAAATGATTGTTAGCCCATAGAGAATATGAAACTCAAAACCAGGGCTGTCTTTCCAGATAAGATTAAATGCTCTTTTATAAATTAGTAACATGAATGGATGTCTTGCGTTTTTATACTTAAAAAAAAACACCTTGTATACATATAACATCAAATCGACGTCATTTTCATTTTGGATTTGCCGAACGGCTGCAGTGGCTATAAATTATTATAATATTATGTCAACAATGTTCGTCAATAAACTCAGTGTATCGTAGTTTTAAATAAATAAATACAGTCCGTAATAATTACCACATTAAAAACTATGAAACAACAATACTAAGATATAAATGCACTAATAACGGTTCACTGCTGTGTACTGCGTGCATACCACAATAATTTTACCTATATTATTATAGCCTGTAGGTATTGCGAACGAGCTAAATGAGAACCATCGTTCGTGACATTAAAATAGTTATGTTGAATTTTTTTACTTTTAATGGAAACAAAATCGATGTCAGTGAAATTTTATTCAGCATATTTCCGCACTGGTGTTTTTGTAGAAAGATTAACTAAAAAACGGTCAAAAGTTTCAATATTTTTAGCAGTAATTAATCAATTAGCAAAATGTTGGTCCATAATTTTTAACAACACCGCAATGGAATAGTAATTAACAGTAATTATATAATACACTTTTATACACCTTCATTGTAATATAATTATATAGGTCATGCAATTTTGTAACGTTCTACAGAACTTTAACACTTACATAATACATAATATATTTAGTTAAATTTACATCTACATTTATTTAGATTGGTAACAATCTATATGAAAATAGAATGTTAAGAATTGTAATACAAGTAAGAAAAAAATATTGTATTTTCAGAACAATTCAAATTTCAACTATAAAATAAAATAAAACGTTATATTATTCAAGGTTCATATTATATAGAAATATTAAAAGCGAATTCTGGGTTAAATTGTATTCAGAAAACTCGTTTAATATATCATAATTTAGGTACTTAAGAATTTAAACTTTCTTTGATTACTTTTCCACAATAAAATTTAAATACAAAAATGATTTTTTCTCTAAAGCTAAGTTAGTATTAAGAAAAATTTGAACACATTTTTATAACTACGCCCATCGTACTTTTTCAGAGGAATATAATATATATATATATGATTCCACTTTTTAAAATATTTAGATATTTTCAAAAGTTCGTAGCAAGTTTTTAACATAGTTATTATAATTCGATAGTCGTTTTAATAATTCGATCAAGTAAAATGGCTATACGTTTATAATCGAAATTTTCAACACAAGATGCAATTTTTCAGATGTCCGCACGATCGTTAAAATTATATAATATCATCCATAGACGCATCAAAAACTTTTATGACATGACTAACATTGTCAGTTATTTATTTTCTCGGGAATTCAACTTTGATGGAAAATTTAATGTTTTGGATATTTTTTATCATTTTTTAACATTAATCCAATAGCGAATGCATTTGACAAGACAAGTACAGTAGTTGTATTGAAGTTAACGTCACGCTTTTTATTTAAAAAAAAAGGATCAAACATAATGAATAAATAAACGGAACGGCAAACACTCAATATTGTCAATATACTAAACTGTTCTATATTATTTACACCATGCTATTTTATATAAATTACTGTTATCATGTATGTCCATGTTTGCGCATATAAGAGTAAATACGGCTGTAGAAAAGGACATTTACGTTTTCACTGGGTGTACTTTAAAATCATTTAAATTTATAAAAATATTCGTATTAATTGTCATACATATAGCTCCGGTTATTAAATAAAAGTACATATAAAACGGTTTATTGTTATTATAACATCAATAGGTACATCATCCAACGATTTAAACATCTACAAAAATAAAATAATAATTCATCAAGAGCTAATTTTTTTCTGTCAGATGAATTTATTAACATAAAAGTATACATATAAATCGTTATTATGATTTATTTTATACATATTATAGTATGGTACTTTCTAAAAATTAGGTTAATGGAATTTTAATTTTAATTAATCGAATATAATATACATACATTATACGCTTTTAATGAATGAACGTAATTTTAAAGTAATGATTTGAAACGACTAACAATTCATATTATTGTGAATGAAGTGTGTAACAAAATAAACAATTTAAAATATAAATTATAATCAACAATTTACTTCCTACTCTACAACTTTATGATTTCGTTCAATGTAAAATTGTCAAATTAGTGATTGTTTAATTACTTTATTATAGATGAACAGACAAATTTTACAAGCGCACTTGTGAAAAATTATAGGGAATATAATAATTATATTTCGTTTTTAAAATTTAATACAATATATAAAAAAAATAATAATAATAACAGTAATAATAAAATAATAATATGAATACAATTGTGGAATTTTATTTCTACGATTCTTTTTTTTTAGTTTTATTTCAGGTTATTCTTGTTTAATACATTTATTTTAATGCATCAAGGTAAAAATTTGCTAGTTTATTGTCCGATATCAATTATTTTATACGGTTAAAATTTTCAAGGCTTGTTGATCTAAAAATGTCTCGTTGTTTTTAAACATATTTTTTTGATATACATTTTTTGCACTGATCAGACGATAATTATTATTATATTCGACAATTTTTTTTTTTATTCCAATGTGACTAATTTATCAATTATTACACTTACTTGACATATGGTAGTAAAAATACTCTAATATTATTATTCAACTTAAACCCAAATATGTTATTGCACATTTATAATGTACCTACAACCAGGGACCAGAACCAAACCGAAAAGAACCGGTTCTGAAACCTTTAAAGCCTTAAAATAATGGGAACTGAAACAGAATTGAAATATTTCCCAATACCCAACTGAAACCAAAACTGGGGCCTATATTTTTAGACAAAAAATAAACAGGGTTATACTATAATTGTTGTTTTTTTTTATGTATGCATCAAGTATATAAAATTACAATCCCTGGAGAGCTTTGATAAACTAGTATTATATTTATTTAGAACCGTTTATTTCTAAGGAAATCTTAAAATTTAAATGGCTATTTATACTTGTATTTTATTTTTTATATATTTAATGAATGTTATTAATTAATTTATAGGTATTTAAAAAATTTAATCGATTCTAATTTTCTTTATACAAATGTTGGAACCATTTTTACCAGAACCCTAACCTTAACTATTAATATGTATATATTTAAATAGCAACCGTAACTAGGACCTTTCAATGATATGATTAAGTACCGGAACCAGACCGGAACTGAAAAAAACAAAAGGTACCAGTCCCTGCCTACAACCTATATTTTCTATAATCACACTGTCACTGCAAAATAACTGACAGAATACACCATAGCTACGGCATGTGATGAGTTTCATACATTTGAAATTTAAATACACCACATCTGGTGTACTGAATACAATAATATATTATGTATTGATTTTACGAATACACACTTCGTGATTTTGCAATAATAATACAGTATAATATAGGGGGTTAGTGACGGTCAAACGAAAGGGGGGGGGGATTAAGAAGGGGAGAGATCACCTGACTTTTTTTTCAATATTTTTAAGGACCAAGATTTAGGTATGAAATGGTAACGATAAATTATATTTTTAATGATCAAATAGTGTATTTTAACAAAACAGCCACATGACAAAATCATTTGATCACCCTGCAATTAAATCAAGAATATTCACCACTATCAGTAAAGTATTACAACCATCTACCACATTCAAATGTTATCGAAAATAATACTATAGTTGAGCGTTAACTTAATGCACCTCTGGTACAATTAAAAAAAGAAGGTTAAAATGTATAAACGTGCATGCGTAGATGAATGTTGGATCAAATGAGTATAAGAAGGTATAAAATCATATGTTTATATGAGCGTGGTTAGTTCAAGTATATAATATCAGGCGTCCCACAGAATAACAATACCCACGGTCTGTAATTAAATTTAATGGATGTACCACTCGTCAATCAATTATAGAATTACGACGATACTAAAGAGGTTTTAAATCTCTGGTAATGTATTTGGCAGTATTGCTGTATTAGGATATATTAGCTGCGAAATCCATTTCAAAAGATGATTGTTTTATTAATTATATTTTGAAATTTGGAGCAGAATGTTTTTGACGGATAACGGATATTTGGAAGCAGATGATATTATACTGCTGCAGGAATAGTAATACCCACAACAAATCAACTGCAGTAGGCTAATTTGTCTAAATTGCACAGTTTTTTTTTATTCTAACAATAATAATACATCACCATAATACTCTGCGTGAGTTATATTTTAAATACAATTGTATTTAAAATGTATGCTATCAACCATTTATCTATCAACTTTTAAATAGTTAGTTAAAATTTCAATTAGTTATAGATTACTATCAGATTCTTAGATTTGTTTATCTAACTGCATGTAATAAAAAGTAGCCGTAACGATGATAGTACCTATACAGTATACAGTTTATAAACATATCTATAGCTTATAATAATATAAAGTATTGAATATTAATT